AAAATGAATCACAGTGCAGAACCTTCTCAGCACAGAAAGCATTACTTGTAAAAGCTTTCTAATTCTAGATTTGGCGTTTTAATGCGCTGACTCTTCCCTTTATGCCTCTTCCTACACATTTGTCCAATTACTCCTCTAAACAGCGTCAGGGGTCTGTTGCTAGGTTACAGCCAGGTAGAAAACACCATTATCACAGGAGTTAAGATGAAGGTGTTTCCAAATAAAGATGATCCATTACATTTCAAAGTGTTATGCCTATTATCACCTGCCTCTACCCCTTCTACATCAGCTTGACTATGTGACAAATGTAGAAAGACTCACTAAGCCAGAAGGCAATGCATGAATTCACAGATGATTTTGTATAAAAACACATTGTTTGTGAATGGTGTTTTAGACAAATTCTTAAGGGGGAAAATGTTTGTTACTTGCCTCTTCTGCTTAAACAGTTGGCTTTAAGACACATACATGTTGAAGTTAACCTCTTGAAAAACAAATTATGACTCAGATAATAAAATGGAAAACAGTGGCAGAAGCCTTTACTGCCATTGTACCAGTACAATAAGAATCAAGAAGTGTAAACAAATGCTTGTGGTTCCCCTATTACAGGACATCCAGGAGATGGGTCACACCCATCTACACTCCATCTCACAGTTTGATCCTAGTCCTGGAGTCATTTTGGGAGCAGGAAGCCGTGACGCACAGCACCTTTCCCCTGGGCATTGGCTGATGCCCCCTGACAGATTGAGGCTGCAAAGATTTGCTCTGTGTGCATGTGCGTGGTGTGTATTAAGGATTTATCAAAATAGTGGGAGGCAAACCACACACATGGAGACAAGACTGGTGCAGTTTTGTTTCCTTAAGTAAATGAATAAATCCATCCATTATCTATATCGCTTATCCTAACAAAGGTAACTGGGGGGCTGGAGACAATCCCAGCTGACATTGGGCGAGAGGCGGGGTCCACCCTGGACAGTCTGTCACAAGGCTGACACATAGAGACAGACAACCACACTCCTATGGGCATTTTAGAGTCGCCAGTCAACCTGAGTTGCATGTCTTTGGGCTGTGGGATGAAGCCGGAGTACCCAGAGAGAACCCTCGCAGGCACAGGAAGAACACAGAGAAAAGGTGCCAGGTCAGCCAGAGCTCGAACACAAACCTTTTTGCTGTGAGGTATCAGCACTAACTACTGTGCCATTATACTGCCCCTAAATAAATAAAAGCAATAATTATTGATTTGTAACTAATCCTCCTATTTATCTTTTTTAATGTTTCCAAGTCACTTTTAATTTGCCTTTTTATGAATGTAAGCCTGAACCACACACTTGATATTCAATCACTAAGTCTGTATCTGATGCCAATAATGAAATGTACCTATAAAGCAATAGTTTAATTTTTTTTAAATCTAACCTAACAAGTTGTATTGTTATGAGTAGTAATTTGCTGGAACTATTTTCTGGCAAACAGTGAGTGGACCCAGAGTCTTGGAATCTTGTTTTTCAATCAGCCAGCAAGGATTCACTGGAGTCACTGGGGCTGGTCTCCAAGAAATAGTTCCAGCACATGACTCCCCATAAAACCACAACCTGTCGTCTTTGCATTTCTGTTTGTGTGCAAATTAAACAATCAAAGAAGCAACAATATGTTAATATGAACCTAAATAAGCTTCTGGATGTTGTGTACACACAGTGTGAACTTTAGATCATGCCACCACATACAGTAGGTCCATTGTTCATATTATAAACAATGGACATGGGCTACAAACAACCAAAGTGTAAAACTGTCTCCACACAAACTTTATACTAATCACCTGCTGGTTCTAGCTGCATGCTTAAAGCTATAGCTCAGACATCTAGTCAGTAATTGATTCAATAGAAAATGTATTGAAAAATATTACTGATATTCTATTACAATGATGATCCATTAATAATTTAAGCAGCATGTCAAACATTCACTAGTTCCAGTTTCTCCTGTATGAAAGTTACTGCTTTAATTTAAAAAATATATATTGTAGGCTGAATATTATTGATCATCTTTCTCATCTTTCCCAAACACTATAGCGTCAATAGAAAAAAGCTGCCTATGGTAGCTGCAAAGGAAAAAGGGCGTTTATGTGAACTTAAACACGCACATCATAAACAATGTTTCAGACTGACCAAAAAAGGCAGCTTCATGTGCAGGCACCAGAGAACAGTGACATTACATCTCATGTTTCAAACAAACGTAATATTTACATATTAAAACACTTTTGTAAAACAATGCAGCATCACATTATAGCAGAATGAAATATTAAATTACTCCCACGCTGTTGCCGGGGAAATTCCTTAGGACTATATCCTGTGTGTGTGGGTGGGTGCACAACAATAAGACCTACTTTGTGTAGAGTTGTGAAGCATGACTATAGCCTGTTTAATGAGATAGCATGTGGTATGATGCTATGTGTGTGAAATTGAAATGCGAGCTGTGTAAACTGAATTGACTGGGTTTGTGTGTGATAAGAATATGCATGTGAGGAATGGCCTGTGAGCTATAGCATAGGCTGCCAGTCAGTGACCACATTTACATGCACTTAAGTAACCAGGTTATGTGTATACATGGCAGCGAAATCGGCATTCTCCGGGAGAAATCTTCTTGGGGAAATCAGGTTTCCCCGATTACGGAAACCAGGTTTCCCATTTACAAGACAGTTAAGAAATCAGTTTACTCAAGAAAGCCAGTTAACCTGGTTACTACTTAAGTGCATGTAAAGACGTTCAGTGTTTGCATGTCATGTGATTAACATGCACACAAGAGTATACATTTTATTGCCAGAAGTTTGAATGGATGCTAAATTTTGCCAGAAAAAAAATGGGTTTCAAATGATTTTTGTACAAGTAATGAACATGGCCAGCAATCCATAATCTCTGTGGTTTAACATTCACATGGATTAGCTGAATGCTTTCACTGATATAAATGTTTTCCTCTTCTTTTGTTTCTTGTACTTGTTCACTGCAGCAGGGAAACCTTCCATCACCTCATGACTCACCTCAACCATCGTTAATTATAGTTTGCAAAAAAATCTTTTCTTGAACAACTTTAAGATCTAAGTCAGTTTAAAATGTTTGCTTGACTTGGACCATCACTAAAAGGTCAAAACCTGAGAGCATAAACTGATTGTGGAGATGTGTATTTACTGGTGTAAAGGACCACAGATCACTACATGTGTTGATCAGTCACCGATTAGGTCAGAAAAACAAATGAGCACTGAACTGATCTGTGTCAGGGTGAGAGGAAAGGGCTGCTCCCTAACACCAGCGATCTGTGTGAGCGCTCAAAGACTTGGGGGGGCTGTAAAGTCACCTCAGCCTTTCTTTACCCAGAGCCCTCTGAAAATACCCAAGCAGCCAAAGAGAAAATACCTCACAGCTGTTCTCTCTGCAGCCAAGCAATTCCTGTGTTACCTTTCTTCTACAGATGGCGGCCCTACGTCTACACCATGCTCCTGATGAGTCTCTGAATCCAACCTAATCTCCCTCTTGTTTTAAACTTCACTTTAATCTGCTGGTTGTTGTTTGTTCTTGACATCAGAAATGCACTTAAAATTGCAGAGGGGTCCTGAGGGCCAGTAGAATCAGGAGAAAACACAAGGAGGCTGGGTATTGAAAGTATCACGTATGCCACTGGGAATGTCAGTGTCATGACCTTAGAGGAGGAGGCAAAATATCAGTCTCTGCAGCACTTATCTCACTCTTCATCTGCAGCAGATTTTGTGACATGAGGCGCACAGAGGGATAAGAAAACACTCCAGGCCCCCTTACCTCCTCTAAACCTGAAACAAAGGCACTCCTCCTGTTTTCTGGCTGTGAGAGAGGCACACAGCATGGATAATTAACAAGAGGCAAACAACAGCTATCACCTGCTTATCTGAGAGTTGTCACTTATCTGTTGCTGGAATCAAAAACAGTGCTGAGCATGTTTATCAAATATTAAATATGCATTATTCTTATCAATGTAATCTTGTGTTGACCCTTCAGATACTGGCATTAAAGCAGCAGTATATAATTTTTGGAAAAATGCTTATTTGCCTTCTTGTCGAGAGTTTGAGGAGAAGATCGATACCACTTGCACAATAGCTTGTTAAATATGAAGCTACAGCCAGCAGCAGGTTAGCTTAGCTTAGCACAAAGACTATAAACAAGGGGAAACAGCTAGCATGCTTCTGTACCTAACAGCCTCTAAAGAACAAGTGACCACAACACTTCAGGAATTTACTGCTCCTGGCCAAGACACAGCCTGGCACATAAATTCCTATAAAAGTAGAACTTGTTGTTTTGGGATATAACCTGTTAATTAGTGAGCTCCAGAGCTGCTGGTAGGCTGAGTTAATTACTCTTGGATAGAGCTAGGCTAGCTGTTTTCACTTGTTTATAGTCTTATATATGCTGGTTTAGTCTTATTGACAGCTGACATGAGTGTGGTATTGAGCTTCTTTCCTAACTCTCAGTAAGAAAGCATAGGTGTATTTTCCAAAAATGTTGTAGGCCTACTTCTTTTATCTGAAAACCAGTTTAATATGGTGAATTAAACCCATCAAGAAGAACTAGTATTTTAAGTAAGTATAGGCCTACACTTGATTCTGAGAGGTACCTACATTGCTGTCAGTTAATCTTCAGAGTTTTGGGGGGTTCGGTGTCTGTAGAGCATCAGAGATAGACTAACATGGATGACCTGACATCTAGGCCTACTGACACCCATTTAATTTGTTTTCACTATGTAAAAATATGAAGTATACAAAACTGTCATAAATTAGATTAAGACATGGAATGTCATTAAGACCATCTTTGCTTAAAACAATAAAATAAAAAAACACATTTCCAAATTTCTTATTAGTAATAAGTTTAATAAACACCGTGTTCAGTATGTGCCAGAACATTTGATTTATGATTATTAAATTTAACAGATATGACTAACAGCTGCAGCTTATTTGTGGCTCTTGTTTTCATATTTTAGGACGGCGGCTGCTCCCACCAACACAGGGGTGACAGTGGAGAAGGTAAACCGGGGGCGTGCGTGTCGGCGGACAGTCTCCGCCCCCCGGAGAGCAGGCTGCTGGAGGAGCCGCTCAGCTCTCACTGAGTTCAGAAACTGTTTGCACACCAATCCAACACTGCATGCTTGTACAAATTGGGATCACACATCTCGGGGCGGTGGATTTTATTAGCTGGACGTTGCCGGGCACAATTCACCTCAGTGGACATCCCAGCTGGTCAGCAGTTTTTTTTTTTATTACTCTTAACACTAGTTACATCCAACAGTCCTAGGTTTCTCAACTAGGGTGTTCAGTGACATTTTCGCAGGGAAACAGCCGGTGACAGTCAGGTTTGTGCACCGAGCGGCGTTTGGAGGTAAGAAACGTGTCACTGCTCCGTTAAATGTTGTGCAGTGAATTGAAAGATGAACGAGCGCAGTTTGAATCCTGGGCTTATTTTTGTGTCTGCCTTGTTGAACAGGCTCGTTATTTACCACAGCATGTCCGATGGGCGATGTTGGGAGCAGTATTTGGTTCTCAGCCTACTTTGTTGCTGCAAGTTGGATTTTCTCTTCAGTCGAGTTGCAGGAACCAAAGCAAAAGAGAATTAAAGCTAAAGTCTTATTAAGTCATTTATCGCGGTAACGTGTCGACCTGACTTAACTTCAGGTCAGATTACAATTTCCCACCTTAAGAGATGAAAGAAATGTATGCATACACTAAATATGCACTCAATCGATCGTGACATGTGCTTTAATGTGTAGTTTTTATGTACTGGTGGGTTATACCGTGAGAAACTTGACAGCAGGGGCAGTCCAGAAGGATGTGTGTCAGTGTTCAAGCTGGCAGGCTTACCAAGGGGGGGCATAAGCGAGGAGGCTGTCTACAGAGATGTATAGGGTCAACAGATGGATGTCTGAAGGCGCTACCTTTGCTGTAGGGCAGGAGTTCAAGCAGATGAAAGATTATTTTATCAATGAAAAGTGTTGCCTATGTCTGGAACCAGCAGCTGATAAAGTGCAGATTCAAAGTAAAAACTGAAGTTGTACTCACACGGGCAAAACTCAAAATATTTGTTTAGTTAGAGTAACTGCTGCAGATCAGGTTATAATCAAATTTTGCTCAAGGAGACTGGCACGGAGGGACCCATTAACTCACACCAGTGTCCAAGTGAGCATGCAGTGCTGGATTTTCTTGCCTCAGGTTAAAGTCACAACCCGTCTCTTCATATCTCCATCTCCCTGAGGCTGGTACTGTGTGTCAGGAAAGAGAAGGGAAGAACCATATCATGGGCCCAGTAGCTTGGACAGACTGACACATGATTAACAAGCTCATCTAATCTACTGCTGCATTATGTCCTGATTTCTCTTTATTCTTTCTCTGTCTGTCTCTTTGTTCCACTCTCATTTTCTCACAAACCTAAACAACTGGGAGTTAGCCATTTGTAGAGAGAGAGAGAGAAGCACACAGACTGGAAATAGAGGTGTGCTTGTTCACTACGTTATGGGTGAACATTTATTTGCCTTGTCAAAATAATAATAAAAAAACGAAACCATATTGATGCTTTTGGAGCAGCTGCCAAAATTGATGACTAAATCCAGCCTGAAGCTTTCTCTCCTCAGCTTGATTCACATGAGAGTTGGGAAAATAGTTTAGTTGCTCACATACACAGAAGCGATGTCTGCAGGATACAAGTATAAATGCAAACAACAGGGTTTGTAAGCCTACAGTGTGATTTATATGGGAAATAAAGGTTAGCATCAGCAAGGTTTTCTGGGCAGGCTGTGGAGGTTGGCAATTAGGAGGGAGTGTGTTTGAGTGGATTCAAATTTCCAGCGAGCCAAGATGGTATTTATTCCACCCACAGACTCAGAACACCTGGTGTGAGACTTGCCACTGGTGATCAGTGCACTCATTTTAATGGTGCCTCTGATAATGTGTTGCTCTTAATCACACGTTCGCAATGCCAGCGATGAAACAAATTAATAAGAAAGGGAGTGTGAGACAGAGATGTGTGTGTGTGTGTGTGTGTGGTGTGTGGTGTGTGTTCACTGCTCCTCTGCCACCCAGTCCTTGGCAGAGATAGAAAAGTGTGAATTGCTGTGTATGGCAACTCCTGCTGAGGGGGACGGGGGTGACTGACTTGATGCTGCCTTGTCTGGCAGTGCACCACTCATTAAATGCCTGAAATTAATCAATCTGCAGTTCCACATGGTTAGGTGCCTCCGTTTTCTCCCTCTGCCACCCTTTCCCCCTCTCATACTCACACTTTGTCTACTTCACTGTTTTCTTATATGTGGCTGCAAATGATTTTACATATCTGATTCATCCCAGCTCACCACCGCCTCCTTTCACCGCTGTATCATCTCAGCGGTTTTTCTTCCTTTTGTCCCCATTGCTTCTCTTCTTCCTTTTCTTCATCCTCCCTCATCCAACCTGCAGAGCACGTCTGTAGCGATGGGTTCAGAGCACCAAGGCAGAGGGAAAACGAGGCTGGGTCATCACTCTACACTTGCTTTCCCCTGTATCAGCCAAACTACAGCAGCAGCAGTCCTTTGAGAGCCTGGAACTAAATGGAGTATCTATTGGCTCAATGAGAAAATTGCTTTTTTCGATTGCTAGAGGACCCTTCATTTAATGTGTGTGATGCAGAGGCTTCAGCCAGTAATGGGTTCAGCATCTCTGTTGTCAGCAGACATGAGAAAATGAAATTTTCTTTTCAGCTGGCAGAAATAATTTACTCATGGAAAGGTGTATTTTCACCAGTTGTTTAAAAGCCGTGAAGGTGTATGTTGGAGGTGTGTGTGTGTGTGTGTGTGTGTGTGTGCCTGCTCTGTCTTTGGTAAGCACCAAATCTCCAAACACTGTGGGTTGATGTCCTATGAAAACTCTGCTGCCATATAAACCAGCCTAAAAACTGTATTTTAGTTATTCATTAAAGGGTTGGGGGTAGCAACAAAGCCACATTTGCCTTCTCAAAGAGATGTCTAGAAAACAAAACTGACTGGCCCACCTCTTTTTCTACAGTGGTTCAAATTGTACCTGACTGGAGAATATTTATCTAGTTGCATGCATCCTAATATTAGCATACCAGTGGTGGAGGAAAATGTGCATCCATCGGTATTTTTATTTTGCTGAATTTCTTTTCTTTTCTTTGTAAAGGTTTCTGTAGGTCAGTGTATTTCAGTATTGCTCACAAGCACAGTTACTGTGAGGAACACAGTGAAATCCTGATAGTGTAGCGGTAACGCAAAAGCTAAGGAGTGAAATCCAACACTGGCACAGTAACACATCATTTTCCCCCTTTATTTATCATTTATAAACAGTATAAACATAAAAACTTTACAACCCATTGTAATGCAGCTATAAGCAGATTTATCTTAGATTAGCTTAGATAATCCATTAACATGTATTATTTGTTCCTTGCGTGACTCCATGTGGGCCAGGAAGTATAGTGACCTGAGCATTCTCTCTCTCCTGATGCTTCCTTTTTATCAGGAGGGAGCAGGCTGGCTGTTTGAGCTCAACCCAAGAATTCTTTGTGCTTATCTCATTTTCACCCGATTTCCCTAGAATGGCTGTGCTGAGCAGGTAATGAGGTAAAAGGTATGTGTTTGACAAGCTGGGCTCTGCAGATAGCAGGTGCTCCATCAGGCTCACCACTTGGTAGGTGCTTAGATGAGGGTATGAAGAGCCCCACCTCAGGATGTTCAAATCCATCCATGTTCAAAACCTTTTTTTCCCTCTGAATAATGTTTTCCAGAACAAATAAACCATGTTGCTCAGGTGTCCATTAAAGGCCGCTGGTGACGACCCGATAGTCATTACACAGAGTGAGTAAATCCCTGTGCTTTTGCCAGGAGCTTCTTCATCACCTTGTGCTCTTTTTATCCCCCAGACGAGAGGGGCTTAGGCTGGCCAGGACTCTGGGCCTGATAGGTATGTGACATGGTGCTAATGAGTGTCGAGATTAGCTGGCTTCAGAGAAACTGAACCACAGATATGATCCACAAAATGAAAATTTTAAGCTCACTGCTGCCTGAGAGAGCATTGTATAAAAGATATAGGAGAGCCCTACAAATTTTTATGTTTGTGAAAAGGAGGTGTTTGTTGGATGAACAGTCACTTCATGGGTTAAAATCACACAAAAGCACTGGGTTGACTCACATTGGGCTCAGTGTTTTTGCCACAAAAGGCAGGAAGAAGCTGGGTTCTAATCAAGTCGCACAAAGGAGGATGTGTGAGTGCTTTTCACACTTGTTGCCAACACCGGACGGAGCTTTTAACAATAGGTAATATAAAAATGACCAATGTGTAGATAAAGAAATGTTGTGAAATTCACTTTTTGCTTTAACAACTTGGTTCCTGTCATTGATAAAGACATTGTACACTCTATAAGAGGAGAATGACTACGGCATATTGGTCAATACTGTGAATTAACTCCATGTTAGAGCTGGTATATGCAGCACTTTTCCATCTGCACATAAGCTAACGAAATTCATCTGCGACTTTTCTGATTATTGACCAATGATTTCTTCAGTTTTCTGGCAAAAAAGCCAACTATTCCTCTTTTCCAGCTTCTCAGTTGTGAGAATTTGGAGGAGGAGTCTTTCACCATTTCAGCTTTAGGAAATTGATTGATTGAGAAATTAATCATCTGATTAATAATAAAAATATTCAATGCAGCCTTAGTATGCAGCTTCTCTGCAACCTATGGTTTGCACCTTTCTGTGATGTTGACATTATAGCCTGATCAACACTGGATTTTTGACGCTGAATCTAATATAGGTGTTTGGGCATTTAAAAGATATAATATCGTATCTGAGATTTATTCATACCAGTATATCTGCAGTAAGCTGATATCAACCTAATTTAGTCCATCTAAGTACAGTTTACATGTACAGAAGTATAAATGACATCAGTCTCGACTGATGAGGAGACACGTTTCTGGGCACAAAAACCAGTGTGGGTCACTGTGCTACTGTTCTTTGGCTGTATTTCAGGGATGGTACTGTGAGCTGAGCTCAGCACAGATCTGTTTTTACAGCCTCTCCCTGTGACTCACTGGGCCTAATAGTCCTCTTGTCTCCTGACTCAGACATTTTTCTGAAGAAGTGGGACTTTCTCCCAGCTTCTGGTCTTTCTCTTTCTCTGTTGCCCAAGCCACAACTGTGTCCCAACTCTCCCCTACTCCACCCCTCTCTCCTCCTGTTTTCCCAGGTTCTCCTTTTGAGTGTGCCTGATTTTTCCATCCTAGTTTCGGGAATAGGAGAGTATAGCTTTACAAGAATCCCCTCTTTAGTCATGTGGGACTTTTATAACGTCCTACTTTATTACATTTTCAGCTCTGCATTTGTATTTCCTCTGCTGAGAGGG